ATTATGGCCACAGACGTAACCGTCAGCAGCACCATGGCACCCACGCTGCTCCCTCTGGGCCCCCTCATGTTATGGCCGCGGACATATCTGTCAGGCAGGATCATGGCACCCACGCCGCCCCCGGCAGCCCCTCACGTTATAGCCGTAGACGTAGCCATTAGGCAGCATCATGGGGGGGTTGTTCTCATTCATCACGTCGCCAGAGATCTTGCAGACCAGGCGGGAGTTGGCGCAGTGGGCCATGGGCAGGGGCTGGGCCAGCTTGTTGAGGGACCGGCTGCACACGGGGCAGTCGGGGCTCTTGGAGCTGCCGTCTTCCTTGTAGCACTGTCTGCGTAGCAGGTTAAGGAAGCCTTGGGGGCTGCCCGCGTGCAGAAGGCAAGTGGCCTGGGAACATGCCAGTGCTATCCTCTGCCCCAGGCCCAGGGCAGAAGTGGCACATGTTCACTTTTAAGGAAAAGACAACACCCACACCCACCAGAAACAAAGCCCCATGAAGACTCAGGTTAAAGCAGCACACGTGGGCACCCACAGTGTGGGGCCCTTGGGAATCTAGGCTACAGTGGTGGTGGGGAAACCCCTGCCTCAGGAGCCTCTGGCTGGGAAGGGAGCAGAGAGGGGAGTAGCAGGAAGAGCCAGGGTGTGAGTGCTGCTCGTCGGGATCACGGCCCTCTTGGTCCCCGGGAAGTGCTGACCCTGCACCCTGCCTACGGCCATCCTCGTGGACTTCAGGGCAGGCTGTGAGCAACTTAACAGGCTCTAAGTCCGAAGAGCGGTCCACAGGGAGTGACAAGGACTGTCACATGAAGGACTGACTGCCTGATGGTGCCCAGATGAGAGGACGGTGAGAACAGATGACTGAGGGGCAGCCAGCCTCTTGGGAAGGGGTAGCCGGTAGGCCTGGTGGAAAGAAACTGCAGGAGCAGTCCCAGGGGACCGTGTGGAGGGGACAGTGTGGCCTGAGTGCCCTTGGCAGGGTGCGTGCTGCAAGACGGACCTGCAGATGCCACAGCTGGAGTGCTGTGTGGCTCTCCTACGACAGGGAGGCTGCCGAAGGACGGCCCCCACAGCGTGAGCTCGTTTGAAAAGGCAAGACACGAAACCCGAGTTGGCCAGAATGTCAGGGGTTCCAGCCCACTCAAATGCTTGGGGGTTCTCGGAAATAAGAAGGGAAGCCATCCCGAGCACTGACCTCGCAGCTGTCGTCTGCCCCAACGCTTGCCATTCAAGCAACATACCGTGCATCTGGGAACGCCTCAGGTGGTGGTGGTGAGGGGAGAGCACACGGTCACGGACACAGCGGAGACGCCACATCATGAGTGTGGGCTCTTCCTAAAACCAGACTGGTCGAGACCCCGGCTCCAGCTAGCAGGGCCTGAGAGCACCGGCCTCAGTGCGGGACGCTGCACTTTGTTTTTCACGGCACGAGACAGAAGTTGAGCCAGTGCAAGATGGAGTCTAGGGAGCTGAGATCAGAGAACGGGGCGGCAGCCGGAAGCGCGTGCGTGGCTAAGGATACGGGGTCTTGATGGCCGAGAGGCCGGCCTGCAGCGTGAGGGTGAAGACGGAGTTGTTGCCCAGCTGGTGCAGCCGGTAGTTGTCGTACCGGAACTGCTGGATCAGCATCCGCCACCGGGCCGGGTCCAGAAGGTCCTGGGAGAAAAGCGGACACAGAGGCTCGGAGAGGCCCTCTGAGGGCAGCTCAGTGGACCAAGCGTCCAGGCTGTGAACCCCAGGGACAGTTTAAGAAACGGGTGGTGGTGCTGTCAGCGGAAAGAACCCTGATCTGAAACGTTCTCCACGGAGATGAAAAACAACACAGCGAGTCCAGAACCACGTCCAACCCGCTGCCGTCGAGGTGCACGACTCAGGGGCTCAGACTGAGGGACCTTGAGGTTGGAGCACAGCTGCGCCCAGGTGCACA